ATCACGTCTTTGTGTGGCGGCTGATAGAGTTCACGGGGCCATAGAACCCACGGAAGTTGGAGACGGCGAGAGTCGGCACGGCGCATTTTGCATGTATCCATGAGAGAAATACATCCCGCCAAAAAAAGGCTCTTCTTGAGCATTTTATCCCACGGCACAGCATTTTGTTTCAAGGCGACCCCTCTACCCACGCCGAAGCAACAGCAATAACACAGGGATCCGCCACGAGCTGTGTCCCTGCTCCGTCTTGTGTGGTGATTGATACAGACCAGGAGGGCCTAAGACGCTCAGAAATTGCGAGCTGCGAGCCCGAGAGTATGGGACAGCCCGAAAACAAACCGCCGCGTCTTCCGATCAGTTGGATCAGGCCAAGGTTGGGTTTTACTGATGATCCCTGTCCATACACCTAGACAACAGCAATCAAAATGGCATCCGCCACTAGCTCTGTGTATGGATCCCTTACCCCTCCAGTATTGTCTTGCCAATCCTGGCGGTGTTGCGTGTTTCGCTGTGTGTTCCTGTGTTTCTCCTAGGGGGGGGTATGAAACAAGCAACCAACTGCGTGTGTGTGTGTGGGAGATCTACGATGCCTTGGCTTGCAATACCTCTACAACTCCGCGGGGAGCGGGGTGAGCATCTCCTATGGTTTTTGGGTACAATCGCCGGTGAAGCACGGCCATCTACTGTCGAAGCGCGACCAAATCGGTGTGGTGAGGAGCGTCCTATTTTTCTTGTTCCTTACAAACCAGCAGATCGTCAACCGGTGCTCTATAGAGCTCGTGCTGGTCGAAAAGGATGGAAAATTCAGGCGGTCGTTTATTGAAACTTGGGCCCCTGGTAGAAAGAGTCTGTTTTTTCCCTCCCGTACGGAGGGAAAAGAACGCGCTTCGCGCTCTGCGGATCATTATAACTCACTCTGCTTACAAGCCTACAAACATCACAGCCGTGCACCCATGACCTTTGTTACGTGGCTTCCAGCGTGTCTCGAACAAGTCAATACGTACACGCCTACTGTACGTCTGTAAATTCCAGCGTTCTCGTGCGCTGTCTGCAACAACACCACCACTGCTACCCGCCGTCGTCGACGAACGAGATGGAACCCGGGAGTCAAATATCGCACCGTGTTCAAGAAACATTCACAGATATGTACACCTTGTTGATGCCTTTTTCCCACCTTCTCCTTCACCATTTACCCACTCCTCTTCTGTAGTCCATGCACCATTATGTCATGTCTGCAGAACAGAAGTGGCGACCTGTATCATCCCGTGTGTTGTATAATAATCGTATTTTCGGCCCATCCCGACGGGGATCACTGCTGTAGTACACTGGTGTGACGTTTCATACTTCCACCCAAATTCACCAACAACACCTTCCAACCACATTCTACCCCTCCAACAGTACAAGAATGTCCGGTCGATTCACAAGATGGGCACTGATGTGTCACGTTGAATCTATTTCTCACCAACGGGGGGGTGTCACTTCTGCATGTTTCTCGAGGACCAGGAGAACCACAGGTAGGCCATTGGAACACGTTGGATTTATCGCGTATTCTCAACTATTTCTATCCATACATTATCTATCGGTAGAGATGAGTTAAAAATATTTTGAAAGAACACTATTTATGTAATAAGTCCCTGATCGAGCAAAAGCATGGGCACGTGTCGAAAGCTCAATTACTGACGCAACCGCGCCCAACACAGGCAACGTTTAGCTTTGTACAAGCTGCAGGGAAAGGCTTCTTCCAGACCGGTGCGACGTTCCCGCGTTGCACAGTGAACGACCCTCCCCTATTCCCCCGGTTTTACTTTCATGTGCTGCACTTTGCGTTGCCCACCTCAGGACGCGGCTTCGTAACCGCTATCCGGGCTCTTGGATATGGAGCAGCGGCTTGCGGCGGCCGCGTAGCTCAACGCCGCGGTGGTGCAGAGTCAGCAGCTAGAGAAGGGACCGTGGTTGCCTAATCTGCTCCGATAGCTCGTCTAACACAGGTACTTACATACCGCGGCCAAGGACGAATTAACGACGACGGTGAAGGCCGCGCGCCTCGTTTGCGTGCGTGCTCATATACGTGTATCCAATCACGAACAATGCTTTGCCCCCACCTCATCTTGTAATATCGTGCGCAGAACGCGCTCTCGGAAACGGTGGGCCTCCTGCGAAAAGAAGACATAGGCGGGACCATGGAGCGGGACGTACAGGACTGGGGATAGCTCGGCAGAGGATCCTCCATGACGGGGTACACTCATGCTTTGCCTTCTTGTGTATGAACAGAGAGGTCTTCTATCCAATTCTATGTACTGGGGGACGGGCACGCAGACACGTACAGATGTGCCAACCGTAAGGCTGCGCGTCAGCGCACAGGGGTGCGATCGATTTTCAAAGCGTAATTTCTCCACAACCAGAAGGGTGCGAGGGTAACGTGATACTTCTCAGGAAAGCTCTCGACGAGATACTTCCAAAACCGCCCTTTTCGACAGTGGTACGGTAACCTCCTGGTTGTGGAGAATTTACGCTTTGAAGATAGCTCGCACCCCTGTGCGCTTGTTCGCAACCTTACGGTATGTGCTCTTTGTTCCCTCATCGTGGTGATGCAGGATGACAACGCGAGAAATTGGCGTAGATTTGGAAGGGTGTTGGGAACCGTTGGTTTCACGGCATGCGGCCATTCTCTCTGAGTTGTTTCCATGTCTTTCCCTCAAGATCAGCCAGGCTCAATTCACGATTTAGGTTAGGCCTCCGTGTGATATGACCTGCTGAAGGCACAGCGGTGTGGAGATGCTGATCTGTAGCAAGAGGGATTCGTCTGGTCAAATCTGTTGGAGTCAAAGCAGTGCGATCTCCTCCCCGAGTCTCAAATCGTTTAGTTTTGTTCTTGTTTGAGGATATGGCTGAAACGGGTTGGAGGGACACGAAGAAGGGGAGTAGATGAGAGGGAGAGAAGCGACCTGCTTATCAGATTACCACACTACCGCTTAAGTGGACCCAATGAGTATTGATTGGAAGAATTGGCGCATACAGCGAAAGAAAGAATGGTCCGCCTTCAGCTGTTCACCTGATCGCGCCCCGTACACCAATGGTGACAGATGGGTGCAATGGCTAGGAGCAACCAAGAGCGGGTGTGTATGAGGAGGTGGAGGGAGGAAGGCAGCACAGGAGGAGAACGATGGTCGACGAGCCAGTATAGTGGCGAAAAGCACAGTGATGCTCGCTAGACAATAGCAAAACGGCTCGTGGCTCACAAGCTTGTGAAGTGTGGCCAGGTGCGCTCTTTACCAGAGCGCTTATCGATCACTCAAATCCGGCCATTCATGTCGCCCTCTTCCCCCGCCGTGTTTTTTGTTTTATTGTCTTCACTTCAAATCGGCGCTCACAGTACTTTTTAGTGCCGTTAACTCCAACGCGTGGTCACACAGAAGGGCCCCTCTCTACCCTCCCCTCCTGCGGTACGTTGCCTTCGATTTGTAATGCGAGAAGAGTTCAGCACTCTCTCCCCTCTGTGTATACACGAACTAGCGCCAACCACTGTGCCAGGAGCGGAAGCGAGAGAAAAACTCACCTTGCAAGAAAAGCTCGCTTATGCCGGGATTCGAACCCCTGACCTGACCTCTAGAAGGTTTCGAGGATGCCAACTAGACCACCGGGGCGACCGGCTTATTTGGAGACCATATTTGTAGGTCTTGTGTGCGGTACAGTGGCGACTGCAGCTTGAAAGTGGGATATGGAATATCTTGCATCGTGACACGATTTGGGAGGAACCTCTCTCAATCGCTGCCAGAGTAGAGAAAGGTTGTTTAGTGGAATAAAGGACAGCCCGAAAGCCCCGCCCATACTCTCAAGCCGGCCTTGTTCATCTTCGGAAATAAAAGGTGCGGTCCGAGGATGGTGCGTTTGTATGAGAAGTGCTGAGTATCGAAAAGGGAAGATAAGTCAATCAAGTACAGTCGACGTGCCCACGGGCTCCACCGGCGTTCCGCCAGCTTTTACCTTTGGGGCGGAAGGCGTTCAGCCAATACTTCATCGGTGTTTCCTGCACCCACCTAGCGGCTGTGAGGGTGCGCGACTTGGTTTTGGAGAGGACCACCAAAGGAGTCACCACAAGTGGCCTCACCAAGAGTGGCTTCAAAAACCTACCAAAAATCCAGACATTGTTAGCCGCTACCGAATTTCAGAGCATGTATTGGTTTGGAAAAACTGATGCAGATGGTAATGAAGCACACCACAATCTTGTTGGGAGCGTGGCCATTCCCCCGCTCGTCTGAGCATCGCAACAACAGAGTACTTTGGAAATCTTTCAGACATTGAAAACAGCAAGTAAACTCAAGAAATCGGACAAAACGCGTAACTATAATAAAGGCATGTTTGGGAAAAATCCAAAGGGACAACAAACCGAACCAAAACATTGCGCAGTAACTCCAACACCAGTAATAGTAAGTGCAAAAAAAAGCATCCTTCCCGACATAGCGATGTACGCCTCAGCACTCTCTTCTGCAACATTCTAACATTAGTGCTATCTCGTGGGCGCCAAGTTTAGCTTCCGCCAATCTACAGCCACCTGTCCAGCCTAGCTTGGCCGTACCAGATAGTAGGTTACGTTGGGCATATCACTCTATGACCAGGTGGTACTGAATTTGCCAAAACAGTCTTGCTACGCCTGAGTACAGTATGGTGGCGGACGGGGGACTGCTGCTGCCCGGAGCTGACCCCTCATCGCTTACTGCAGCCTGGTCGTGCTCGTTCTCCCCCGTAATCTATTCATGTGTCTGCAAAATACTTTCGACACAGATGCCTCGTGTTATACCTGAAACTATGGATGCGGACATGCGTATTTCGCGTACTCCTCTACAGCAATGAGGCAGCAGTTGCCCGGTGCACAAAAAAATGGTGTCTGCAGCTGTGAACTCTTGTGATGGGTAGCTCACAGCAATTTTCCTATCTGAAATCCGTTTTGTATAACGAAAAAAACACAAAGATGAATCACAGAACGACCGACCTTGTTCGAGCTACAAGAACCCGACGATCTTGCGAAACACGTCCTCCTCCGCCAGCGCCACCAGCCAGCCCGCCGCAAACTCAAACCCTCCGCCGTCACCTTTGCCGTCAACCCTCACGATCCCGGCTCGCGAACTGCCCTCTCCACTCACGCTGCCGTGTGCGTCGTCCACTTCCACGTCGACCTTCGACTGCTGCCCCTTCCTAGCACGGCGACTAGGGCGCTCCTGCTCCTGCGGCTGCTTCCCCGAAGCCTCATCTGCCGTCTTCGGGATCTCCACCACGAGCCTTAACCTGTCTGGGTGAGCGCGGCACAAGGCCAGGAAGCCCCGGCGACGCCAGGCCCTGTCCTGCGGGGCGCGTGTTAGCAGCTTGGATAGGCGTTCTAGTCGCCTGTGATCTTCGTCCGCAGCTTCGGCGATGGCTGGTATGAACTCGCTGGGAGTGCTTCCCTGTAAGTCAACGGCTGTTTCTTTCGCACCCCATCTCAATAGCAGGTCCGCTGCATCAGCCTCGCCTTGTCGACACGCAGCGTGCAAAGCGGTTGACCCCGTACCACACTTGGCGTCGATATCGGCTCCCAGCTGCAAGAGAGCGCGCATGGCTGTGCACGAGCCATGCGTAGCTGCAGAATGCAGCGGGGTTCCGTCGTACATGTCACTGCTTTGGACACTGGCCCCGGCCTCGATCAGCACTGGGATTGCGACCGCATTGTCGGTTTCCGCGGCGAAATGCAGCACCGTCGTGCCGTAATCGTAATCTGAAAAGGGGTTGTTGGCATTGGCGCCAACCGCCAACAGGACCCTCACAGTGGAAATGTGATCCTGGCGCACCGCCCTTAGCAGTGGAGGTTCGGCGACCCCTTCCAAGTCGACTCCCTTGTGGGCCAAGGCCACCACTATATCGTCTTGGCCGCTGTCGACCGCGAGGTCAATGGGGGACTCACCAGTTGAGCCAACCAGGCTGGCATCGGCTTCGCTTAGCAACAGGTCCTTGGCGATTCCCGCCTGACCCTCTCGGATAGCGAGGTGGAGCGGGCCACCATTCATGGCGTCGAGAACGTTCACATCCGCTTCAGCCATTGTTAGCGCCTTTGCAGTAGCCGCGTTCCCACCGAGTACCGCAAGATGGAGAGGTGTATGGCCGGTGCCGGGGGCTTCCGCCTCAAAGTCTGCCCGCGCCCCTGCCCTTTGCAATAGCGACACAACTAGGGCGTCGCCGCCCTTCGCAGCCGCATGCAGCAGCGTCTTGTCATGACAACCCCGCCAGCCGACACCGCCGTCGGCCCCAGCTCTCAACAGCTTACTCACGAGTTCATTATTTGCCGTGGTTCCGCATGCTCCAGCGGAGCCCTCAGCCACTCGGACCACTGCTGGGGTGTGGCCCTATCAATATCGCGTCTCGGACATCCTTCATGATCCTCGCACGCATCTCGTAGCCCGGCATGGTCTTATTCTCCTGATATGTAAGCCTGTGTTTACCCGGTAGTGGATGATGAAGTGTCAGATGTCCTAGTCGCTTCCCTGTTCACGTGTACACCCAAAGAGAGGGATGAGTCGGAAGAGCGCGAGAGCCGGGCAAGAACACGTCAAGTCCAAGTCAAGTGTGCGGGCAAGATCGGCATCGCTGACACACAAAAAAAAAAAAAAAAAAAAAAAAAAAAAAAAAAAAAAAAAAAAAAAAAAAAAAAAAAAAAAAAAAAAAAAAAAAAAAAAAAAAAAAAAAAAAAAAAAAAAAAAAAAAAAAAAAAAAAAAAAAAAAAAAAAAAAAAAAAAAAAAAAAAAAAAAAAAAAAAAAAAAAAAAAAAAAAAAAAAAAAAAAAAAAAAAAAAAAAAAAAAAAAAAAAAAAAAAAAAAAAAAAAAAAAAAAAAAAAAAAAAAAAAAAAAAAAAAAAAAAAAAAAAAAAAAAAAAAAAAAAAAAAAAAAAAAAAAAAAAAAAAAAAAAAAAAAAAAAAAAAAAAAAAAAAAAAAAAAAAAAAAAAAAAAAAAAAAAAAAAAAAAAAAAAAAAAAAAAAAAAAAAAAAAAAAAAAAAAAAAAAAAAAAAAAAAAAAAAAAAAAAAAAAAAAAAAAAAAAAAAAAAAAAAAAAAAAAAAAAAAAAAAAAAAAAAAAAAATATTTTGGAAATACTGCGGTGGGGGCCTGAGAGTAACTTCTCCCATCTGCGGAGTCCCATCCGGTGACTTGTGGACTTGCGACGGGAGGCGACAAGCATACCAGCACGCACGATCGCAAGCTGCCACATAGTGGACCAAGCCTGAGGAACGCTTTTTGCCATGTTCAGAAGTGTACGGGCAGGAGCGCGCTCAGGTATTCGATGAACCCTTGTGCAGTCAGAACAACTCGCTTCGTGTCGACACCGAGCCATGCCCTCTCTACAACAGCAACAATGTGCGGTTGAATCCCCCGAATGCCCGGGAATGGCAAAAGTTGAGGTCGTCGTTGGTTCCCACACGCTCAGGTTTTAAGTTGCAATACAGCAATAATGTCGCCATGCGTGTTGCCCCATGACTCGTTCTTCCAGAGAGCAGTAAAGCGTGCGTTTCCCTCTGGACACATTGCTGTATTGTACTGATATTGTGAAACGTTTGTGACAGCCGCCCAGGCCCGCGGAAGCGAACGCCTTGTTGTTTGTACCGTTGTTGGCGGTACATAAACGCTCTCAGGCTCCCTGCAATTACTCCCTGCGACACCACGCTATGGCGAAGGATGATGAGATGCTGCGCTCTCATGTTGTCCTCTGGCGAAGGTGTCCCTATCACATATAAAAAATGGCGAGGCCCAACGTTGCCTACATAACGATAGCATTGTTTGACAGGGTTGGCGAAATGTTGTCATCCGCCAGCAGGTCTTGCGGGTTCATGGGAGGGATCCCGTAGGTCTCCCCAGTCAGATATCCTCTACAGCATCAGATAGCTACCGCGCAAAGCAGTGGTAAAACCGAACATTGCCATTGTTGGTTAGATGGAAACTCTCAGCTATGCGCCATTCGGTACTGCTGTAGTGCTCTTGATTGTCCAGAAAAAGAAACACTGAAAATTGCAAATGCTGTGACACTCTCTGGGCCGCTGCAGCAGTACATACCCAGGTCGATGCGTCAACTTGATTCTTGAGGTATGTCCGTCCATACGTACGCACCCATACGTACGCACATGGCGCAGTATTGCTCAGAGCGGACGTAACGAGAGAGATTGTGGGACCCTTCGGCCTGGGCGTCTCGTGCCTTTTTAGCTGCGTGCGCGGGCTCCTGGACGGGTATCGTAGCTTGCACAAAGGTATCACACCCCCTCCGCCGATTTTCGAAGCTCGATTTCTCGGCAGGAAAGGCAATGACGATGCCGACAATGGCGACGTGGGAACCGTCTCGTCGAGAGCTTTTCGAAAACATATCCTTCAATATCGGCATCCTCTTCGTCCTGGAGTAATCGAGCTTTGAAAATCGGTCCAGGGAGGGGTGATATCTTATGCAACCTACGGTAATTTTTTGCTCATGGCGAGGGTGAGAAAAGTACATGCATTTTTGTTTCTCTGTTCCTCGGGCGTCGAAGTGTAGGTGTGCTCCGGATGAGGCAGCAATACAAACAATATTGATGTAGTGATGGTACGAAGAGTAGTTACGGTTGCTGGAAAAAAAGTAGTTGTCCCCGGAGAAATGGATGTAGAAAACATCGCCAACCCCTTCCCTAGTTCATTCACCATGGGGTGCTAGTTTTCCCACCAGTTGTCTCCCACAAGGTTCGAATGTTTAAAGTCAGGCATGTTGTCAATACGACCAATGTGTTTCGTGCGTGCTATAAATCTGACTTGCTTCATTAAGCCCGCTTCCGTCGCGCCCGCCCGCATGCCCAAACCGTCTTTTGAAACCGTCCCGAGTAGCGGCATGCTCAACTTCACGGGCGGGGCGACCCTCGCGCCCAGCGGCGTCGTCACCAATGTTCGCGGCGCCTCTGCAGCTCGGCCTGCTCCCTCCTCACCCCCGCTCCGTTAGGGGAGTTTGTCACCTGCCCAGGCGTTCAGCCGCCGCCGCGTCGCATCGGGTCGTCGCCCGGGGAACGCGGCCGTTTCACGGCGTCAGCGGTAGAGTAGCGGGTGTAGAAGGAGGGGGAGGATTGGGGCGGGGGCAGGCGGCCGCGGCGGCGGGAGATGGGGCTGATTCCTCTTCTTCTTCCTCCTCCTCTGACAGCAGCGACGAGGACAACGAAGGGCAAGATGAGGACGCTCCGGCCGGAGACGACACCAAAAGCGGTGGGGAGAAGCAGGCGAAGGAGGGGGGGAGAAGCAGCAGCAGCAGCAGCAGCAGCAGCAGCAGCAGCAACCCGCACCATGCAACAACAGACCCGAGAGCGGCGCGACGTGAAGCAGCAGAACGGGTTGGCGGTATCGCCGGTGGGGCGAGAGAGAGCAGAGACGCGGCCGCAGCGACCGCTGCTGCTGCCGCTACCCCCTCCGGGAAGAGCCGTGAGACCGCTGCCTCGAACGGAGGAGCCGGTGGCGCCGCCATCGAGGAGGAGGAGGAAGATGACGGCGAGTACGACTACCGCAGCATCGGCAGCGAGATCTACGAGGGCGGAGACTTGGAGGCCGGGGAGACGATCCGAGGGATGTACGACTTCATCGACGATATCGTGGAGACCCAGCACGTGCCGACCATCCAGGACCCCTTCGACCACCGGGGCAGGTTCCACAGGTAAAGGGCTGGAGGGGTGCGGTGGGTGGAGGCAGAGGCCGTACAAGTACTAGCCTGGTATCGGTACCTTGGCCCATACCATAAACCTGTGATGACGTGGCAGCGTGCATTGCCAGTAGTTGAACTCCTACGTGTGAGAGCTTTCCTACGGATTTCCACATTTTGCGAATGCGGCGCAGGGGGGAGGGGGACTCATAGCCGTGCATGCCGTGTCGTTAGACCATTGACCTCGGGGGGGGGGGGGGGGGG